ACGGTCCTCAAGCAGGATACGATGACCAGGCTTTCTGGGAACCTTGGAAAACTGAATGCCTGTCCTGTGATTGTGGTCCTTCCCCATGCCCAGGAGCCATGAGGTAATGGAGCATCCGGAAGGTGCCTACTGTTTTGCCATCATGGACCTGAGCAAGGAGCATGGGCCACCATCGTCATTCTAAACCCAGCAAGCTCCCTAGACAACGCCAGCTTCACACTACCCCATGTGGCTTGCCTGAGTCCTACAGGAAAGCTAGTTGGGGTTTGAGAATGCACCGACCCGCCTCTCCAGTGCGGTCAGGAATGGCCCGCCGCAATGCGCAGTGGACCTGGGTGCAGTTGTCCAGTGTCTGGGAAGAGCCACTTGGGCCCCTGTCACTAGTCTGGAACCAAAAACCGCCCGTGCCCAGTCTGACAGTCGAGAAGGGTAACTGTCAGAGGGGCATGTCAGTGGTTCAGTTTAGGAACCCACATCAGTAAGAAGAGACCCCCAGAGGTGCTGGGCATGGGAGACTGAGGCAAGTTTGAGGCCTGGTCTGCTCCCCAGGCCAAAAAAGCAGGTTACATCAGTGGCGGGTAACAGCTGGCTACGGTTAGGACGCCTGGATGCAATTAATCATGGCTCAGCTGGACCTATGGCTGACCCAGCAGAGACAGGAAAAAACTGGAGGAACTGGTGTCCTGGATGCTAAGCAGGTAACAAGCACTGTCCATCTTGGATGATAGAGGTACCTGTGGACACCACTGGGAGGCGAGGCCCAGAATTCGCCTATCCGGTTTTCCGGTGCCCACGGCGCGCTACTACCTTCAGGCCAGATGTAGTTCCCTAAGCCTGAGGAAAGAAGGTAGGAGAGGGAAATCTCCTTCTTTTTTACTCCTTCTGACAAGAAGCTACATATTAATATTCGTTCGCAAATGACACCCCTGAGCCAAAAGTGTTTTTGTGGGAACAGGGTGGGCACCCTGGCAGTTGCCACGGGATTCGGAAAAAGCCACAGCCGACTGGTTACCCACCTGTGACTCACTTGGTTGGCCCAGCAAGTGTTGCTGGGGAAGAACGGCTTCTATTCCAATGGTATTCCGTTCTCCGCAGTACAGCGATACCTCCCCTGACGACCCAAGAGGAACCTCTAGATAGAGGTCGGTTGCGTCAGGAGGGAACTTGTAGCTCCCTCCCTGGCAACCACTTGAGGGGGGAGGTGTAGCAAACTTAGCTCATCAGAGCTGGAGCGCGAGTTCCCCATTTTTTACTATTGCCTCAGCTTCATTCCCTACCCCCCTCCTTCCTGAGAGGGCAAACGTTTATCTCCTGACAGATGGTGTGGGGTCAACCAGGTTAAGACAACCTGAGTCCAGGTGCCAGGCAGTCTGGGGAACATGTAACATTTCACCTATGTTCTGATAAGGCCCAGCATTTCTCAGAGAATTGGGAAGCACTAACCCCAAAACTGTGTAGTCGCCTACCATCACCCCCCTACATCATAAAAACTGACCAGCAGTTAATTAAAACACTTCCTCAGGTCAACTGTGTGTTTCATATCATGGGGTATGAAGCTGTTTAGTTTTTAAACAAAAAAACTGAGAGTCCACTGACATTCTGCCCAACATATCGTATTGGCAGACTCCAGGCCACCCCCCCCCGCAGAGGGATATTTAAAAAAGGGACAGGCTGCAAGCCTAAGGGTAGAGTGTAACAATCATTCTCCTTAAGTGTAACTCGTAACAGAGGAGAGATCATACGAAATAGAACCTTCCTGCTCTGCACTTGGATCTGCTTACAAAAAAAAACCAAGATAATATTGGCAAGTAGAACTTAACTCTTATAATGTCCTCCCATATTATCTCTGCTGTATCTTTATATACATTTATATACAGTTGGCAAGAAAAAGTATGTGAACACTTGGATTACGTGGAGTTTTCCCTATGAATTGGGCATAAAATGTGCTCTGAATGTCATCTAAGTCACAACAATAGAAGAACACAGTCTGCTGAACATAATACTACCGCAAACATTAGATGTTGCCATGGTTTAATTGCACATAACATGTAAACATTCACAGTGCAGGGAGGAAAAAGTATGTGAACCTTTGGACCTTAATAATTACTGGTTGACCCTCTCCATTTGGCAGCAATAACCTCAACCAAAACGTTTCCTGTAGTTGCAGATCAGACCTGACAATGATCTGGAGTAATTTTGGACCACTCCTCTTCACAAAAAACTGTTTCACTGTAGCAATATTCTTAAGATGTCTGGTGTGTGAATCGCTCTCTTAAGGTCATGCCACAGCATTTCAATCGGGTTGAGGTCAGGACTCTGACCTGGGCACTGGGCCACTCCAGAAGGCGTATTCTGTGCTGTTGCATCCATTGTTTGTGTTGAATTACTCTAGGCTTTAGTTGCTTTAGGTCATTGTCCTGTTTGCATCACCCATCCTCTGCGGAGCTTCAGTTGGCGAACAGGCTATGGTCATACGTTTTTCCTGGCAAAATGTCTTGATAAACTCTGGAATTAATTTTTCCCATCAATGAAAACAATCCATCCAGGCCCTGAGGCAGCAAAGCATGCCCCAAACCATGATGCTCCCTCCGCCATGTTTTACAGTGGGGATGAGGGTTTTGATGTTGGTGTGCTATGCCTTTTTTTTCTCCACACATAGTGTTGTGTGTTCTTCCCAAACAACTCAATCTTGGTTTTCATCTGTCCACAGTATATTTTGCCAGTAGTGCTGTGGAACAATCCAGGTGCTCTTTTGCTAACTTCAAACCTATGCTCTAATATTCTTTTTGGACAGCAATGGCTTCCTCCGTGGTGTCCTCTCCATGTACTCCATTCTTGTTTAATGTTTTCCTTATTGTAGATGTGTCAACAAAAAATGTTAGCATGTGCCAGAGATTTCTGTAGGTCTTTAGCTGACAAGGACCTCTGGGATTCTCGTCTTTACCTAATTGCAGCATTCTGCGCTGTGCTCTTGCAGTCATTTTTACAGGAGGACCATGCCTAGGGAGAGTTATCAACTACAGTTGCTAAACTTTCTCCATTTGTAGACAGTCTTTCTTACCGTGGACACATGATCACATCAAGGCTTTTGGAGATACTTTTGTAACCCTTCCAGCTTCATGCAAGTGTCAACAATTATTGATCGTAGGTCTTCTGAGAGCTCTTTTCCCCTGCGAGGCATGGTTCTGACATCAGACAGTGCTTCTTGAAACCAGATAAACCCAAAAAACAGGTGTGTGTTTTTTAAGGGCAGGGACAGCTGGTCAGCAAAACACATCCAATATCATCACACTGATTGGAGTCAAGGTTGGTCCTCACTCCTGGCTCCAAATTAGCTCTGGGAGAAGTCATTAAGCTAGGGCCTCACATACTTTTTTCTCTGCCCTGCACTGTGAATGTTTACATGTTTTTGTGCAATTAAAAACCATGGCAGCATCTAATGTTTGTGTTTTTTTTTTTTTTTTAATCTTTGTGTGTATTATGTTCAGCAGACTGTGTTTCTTCTTTTGTTGTGACTTAGATGACGTTCAGGCTCCCAGCACATTTTATGCCCCAATTTCATGCAAAAAGCTTCCAGTAATCCAAGGGGTTCACGCACACACATATACTTTTTCTTGCAACTGTATATATACTATATATTTTCGTGACATCTCTTTGTAAATATTTTATTGCACCCTGTTTGACTCCTTTTAGTAATAAATCTTTCTTTCTGAAAGTGTTTAAAACTGTTTTTAATAGAGCGACTTACTTGCAGTTCTCACGAAATCCCTGCCTTTGAGGAGACGGTCTACTGTTTGTTATATCTCTGTATAGCAGCTCCATGGGCCGTGCTATATAGATCTATATTTCAATCATTATAATGTATAATTTGATAAACCAGGAGTTTGTCAGTCTCCGTACAAAAGTGGGGTGGTGGCAGTAGAGGGTTAGTTTGGCGTAATTAACCGACCCAGTAGAAGTAACAAGCGCATTCAGGCAGCAGGCACCGAGAGCACGTTTGTCGCATGTTGGTGGCGGCCGACCGTGGATCCGTGACAATAGGCAGCACTGATGCGCACTGATAGGTGGCACTAAACTGGCACTCATTGGTGGCACTGACTTTGGCACTGATAGGTGGCACTGACTGGCATTGATAGGTAGCACTGACTGGCACTGATAGGTGACACTGAAAGGTAGCTCAGATGGGCACTGATATGTGGCATTGATGTGCACTGGTAGGCACTGATATGTGGCATTGGTGTGGCACTAATGGGCACTGGCGGGTGGCACTGCTGGGGCTACATTGATCATCAGGGTACCCTGATCATCAGTGCCCTGATAATCAGTGTACACGTCCCCTCTGAGGAATGCTGATTACCAGCTCTCCTCTCCTCTCGAGCTGTCAGCGTGACAGCTTGCGTGAGGAGAGAAACGACATCTCTCTATTTACTGTCATGCCGAGTACAGCCGGTCAATGACCAAGACCGACATCTCCCTATTTACATGTCCATCAGCTGTGATTGGACACAGCTGATCACATGAACCAAGCCGACATCTTTGGCTCTTTCCATTGATCGGTGATTTGCTGTGTCTGAGGGACACAGCGCACCACCACGATCGCCGCGCTGCACGCTCCCGGAGTCGTGCACGCGTGGTTAGAGTGGGAGGTTGTCATATGGACGTCGTTCCAGAACAAGAGAACTGCTTTGCGCCCATCATTACCTTATATGGCGGGCGGGAGGCGGTTTAAAAGGTACTCCTGGCTAGTGCACTGATTGATTATTATTGTGTGATTGTTATACAACAATTAAAATGTTCATGGTTTAGTCGCAATGCCCCTATCTGCCTAATGCAGCTATTTAAACTACTAGGAAGGGTTGAAAAGCCCAAGGAAGTTCTTTCAACTCTATAGTTCAACAGAAAAAATAAAGCAAAAACCAGCATGGGCCAGGGTAGGACTAATGAGGACTTACTTGGATTGAGGTAGTCTTATGTCTCATTTGTTTGAAAATGTTTTTCAGGAAAAGAACAACCCAAAAACAGAATTTCATAGGGATAATTTACTAGGAACAGTGAATGACCTGTTCTTTGCTGCAACTGAGACTACAAGTATAACACTTCGATATGCCTTCTTGATACTACTTAAATACCCCGAGATACAAGGTATTGCCATCTTTTTTTTACCAGAACAATAAGGGCCATTGTCCTTTCTAAACTGAAAAATGTAACTTTGGGATCATAAAGGGAGTCTGCTAAGTGTTGACAGGCTACCAATCTGCTAAGTGTTGACAGGCTTTTGCTTGCTTCAAAATGGTTTTGCTTTTCTATGGGAATGCAAAACCCACTTGCAGCAAGTCAAATGCAAATCAGAAGGAGGTCAACTGCAGGTCAAATGCATCTTTCAATGAATTCTGATGTCATTGGCACAAGCCCAATGCAAGAATTAAAAAAACAAAATACATACTCACTTTCCTTCTGCAGGATTGGTGTGATGCTGCAAGCTGTCCCCGCAGCAGCTCTAAGCTCAAGAGTGATCATGTGACTGCTGATCGCTCAGGTTTTGGGTCTGCTCTGAGCAGAGAGCAGTGACTGTGAATCACTGCTCTCTGCTCTGCCCCTGCAGTGCTCACTGGAGTGCTGGGCTGTGAAATGGGGCGGGGGAAAGACTGGTTTAAGACTCTCAGTGGTGTTTCTGAGATGCTGAGCCAACTGCCCTGTAAGGCATCTAGATGGATCCCAACATTACTGTCGGGATCAGTCCAGAGAGTCTGGAGCGGCTCTGTGACACATCAGCTGACAGCTGAATTTAGCCTGCTGCTGGGTGATTCTGGTTCACAGGAGAGAACCAAATAAATGTACCCTGTGACCCACATGAGAATTAAGGCCAAAAGATCTTTGGCCATACCTCTCTTTTTAATTCATTTTTTCATCTACACATTGCTTGAACTGTACTAGCCCACATCATTTCCTGTAATCTGGTGATGCCTTTTGCATCTTACACACATATAAAATCTAATGTGCAAAAAATCCTAATATTAGTAAACTTTTTTACAGCAACCAATCAGATTCAAAATACTGTTCTGAAATTTGAAAATGTGGGAGTAACGGGGGGGCCCCCACCAAGGAGGTTGTCTGATGTCTTTATTCCATAATTCCAGACACACTGCCAGGTGTTACAGAAAGAAGTTGGGGGGGGATCCCATTAAAATTTTGCTATGGAGCCCCATGAATTCAAGTTATGCCCCTGATTATTGGTGTGATGCTAGAAGCAGAGAGAGGAAGTTACTTGGCAGAGGCCTCTCTATGGAGCTGTGTTTAGCAAAGTACCGTATTACTTGGAAGTCAGATTAGAGTAAACTGAGGGGACATTCAGGCTTTAGCACAGTTGCTCTACTTACTGGATAGCGTTTGTAGCCCACTGAATGCTTTCACGTTTACTAGGAACTGCCCTTTTATTAGAAAGTCAGTCATAATTTTTCAACAAATGCATGGTTGCAATTAATTTCACCTTTCTGAGATCATTAATTCGTTAGTGGTCTTTGCTTAATTTTTCTTTGTTTGGCAAAACACAAATTAATTCCAATGTATGAATATGACTGATCTTGCATATATGTATGTGTTTAGCTTTCAAACATCTAATATTATTTCATGCTCCTCTCTTTCCATGTGCTCCAGAGAGGATCCATAAAGAGATTGACAATGTGATAGGCAGTGATCGCTGTCCATCAGCGGAGGACAGAAGTAAGATGCCATTTACAGATGCCGTCATTCATGAGATCCAGAGATTTGCTGATATTAAACCAGCAGGACTACTGCATGCAGCCAGCAAGGACACCAACTTTAGAGGATATCACATTCCAAAGGTGCTCTTCTTGGAGTTCCAAGATAGCCTGAGATGTTTATGTATTTTATCTACATCTATCATTATCTATCTATCTATCTATCTATCTATCTATCTATCTATCTATCTATCTATCTATCTATCTATCATATGATTTGATCAAAACAAGTGTGGTAAAAGAAAGGTAGGTATTCACAATGCCAGGCCAGGAGGTATAACATTTTTCTACCTTCACTTGAGTCATTCTTGTACCAGCACTAACTATAGTGCACAGTGTATTGTGATAATTTCCTTTGTTCCCATACCAGAGGTGAAGGATCAGCTGTTCTTACAGCAAGACTTTTCAAAAAATTTTAAAACCTCCCCTTGCAATAATAAGTGCCTCTCTGCACCAGAGGCACTTGTTATTGCTTTCTCGCTGTTAAAGAATGAAAGTGATTGTAAGTGCTATTTTTTTTAAATACAAAGCTATGTGTAATAGAATTGCATAGAGCAGCACCTCCTCCTCTTCTTGGGTCCCATGCCAGCACTCTTGGATTTTCCTATTCTTGGCATATCACCTTAGGAAGCCACTTCCTATGGTGGCACACCTGCGGGCTTGCTCCCGACCAGCATTGCCTGCATCCATAGACACAGACAGTGCAGCTCAATCCTGCCCCCCACTCCCTTGTCACAGATGTTAATGCATTATATTATAAGGGGGGGAGGAACCAACACTAATTTCATACATCTGAGAGGATATGTTTTGTAGTTCTTGTAAGATGTCAGTGTTCACCCTGGTTTTGCTCTTGAGGAATCCTGTATGTGCCCTTATGTAACAGCCCTGCCCTTGGGTTGCTAAGGAGCCTTTTTTTTCTATCGCTCTAGCTGAGCAAGGGATATATAAGCAGGTTGTGGGAGGAGCCAAGAGATAACAACGGGTGGAGTCCAGAAGGAATGAAACTGCTATTTCCACCAAAGATATGATATATACGCCATTAGTAAACTGTGATGGCTGTAACTCTCCTGGTGCTAGGGAACAGGCTGGTTGTAAAAGAAATGTCAAACTAAGCAGTTTCTGCACCGCTGAGACATTATGCAATATGCTTTACTGGCCTTGTGCAACAAAGTGTATTCTGGACTCTTGACCAAGCCTAGGACTGATGTAACATGGAACCTGAATGTTTATGAAGAGCTGTCCGGGCTTAGTTGGAGCCTCAACTCTTACTGGCCCTGCAAAACTATACCATGGGCTGCACTCTGCATTCCTTCTAGGCATTACAATTCTTCATTTTTAATACTTTAGTACTTTTTGTAATGCTTTAATACTACCTTCTTTTTTCCTGCATCTGTTTCCAGTTAACCAATTCAATTCTTTTATTTTAGGGAACGTTAGTGTTTCCAATCCTAACTTCAGTCTTGAAGGACCCCAAACAGTTCAAAAAACCCTGACAAATTTGACCCTGGACATTTCCTTAATGAGAATGGCACCTTTAAGAAGAGTGATGCCTTTATGCCATTTTCAGCAGGTATCCTCTTGTAGTTAATCTGTCTATTTAAATACAGTATTGGTAAGCATTTTTGGATAGACCGTGGGCTCTTAATTTGAATTATGGTTGTGTTCTGGGACATAGGCTCAATTTACAAAGCTAACATGTCAGAATAAGAACCTTTATTTTTTCAGAAAGTGACAGTTGTGTTTTCTTTCTTTTTTCCCAGGAAAACGTATGTGTATGGGGGAGGGTTTGGCTCGCATGGAACTCTTCCTCTTTTTTGCAACCATTCTGCAAAGATTTACTCTGAAACCCACTGTGAACAGAAAGGACATAGAAATTACACCAGAGCCCAAAAGCAATGCTTCCAGACCTCGTGATTATGAGATGTTGGCTGTGCCCCGCTGAGGGACCATTGTATACTCTGGTGTTATTGAATATTTTGTTCATGTTTTTAAGAGTACCAATCACTTTAAAATTTGTAAATAGTAATGCTATATCTTTTAGTCTTTCATTATTCTCTCAATAATGTTTTTTTCACTACCCCTTAGTAGTCGCTAAGTTATTTTCAGGCTCCCTGTCGCTCTTGACCCCATTCTGAAAGCCCAGCCCCTGCTGACACCAAAGTACACTTCTGGCCAAAGTAAACTCTCTCAATATTACCAGGAAATAGACTCACACACAGGTTAGAGTTATCTGATATTTTGTTTATATTAGAGTTGAATATGTGTACAGTAAACCAGCACAAAATTATAGATGTGCATATAATAACAATTATCCATCTTAGCAACGTTAAGCAAAAGTCAACACATACAACAAAAATCTTATTCAGTTCTGGACGTCCTGTAATTCCGAATTTAAGCAAAGCCTCAACTCTGACATGTTTCTGTCCCCAGTGAGCAAAGGAAAACTATTAAAGAGTAAGCCTAGCTCGCTTTGGGCCCTCAGAGGCTGATGACAAGGTTCAAGTCTAAGGTAAGGAAAGAACTATTTAATTAGGAAGGCTAATGTGCCTTTAACTTCAGTGGAAGATCTTCTGCACACTCGCTGGGGCCCAGTTAGTGCACTACAAGAATTCATATCTTCTTTCAATAGGTGGAAGTCCTTCGAAAAGATGTATGCAAGCAAAGGCACTACCCCTTACAGCGGTATTTAACGTGGGCAGTACCCCTTTATTACACAAGATGAGATGCAAGTTTTAAGCATGAGGTTTAAGGGGGGGGCAGAAGCACTTATTGGTAAGGGTTCATTCCTATCTAGGCCGCAGTAGCAAATGGCAACAATGACAAGTGTCCCTTGATGAATGTAAGCCAACTGTGGAGGAAGCAGTGGTGTGGCTTGGCCTGCAGAGGGTGGACACTGCAGTAGGCTCTGATGACTGGATTATGCTGGAGATGTGTTTGCTAATAGGCTGGCTGAACTAGGCCTCAACTTACTTTAACTTGTGAACAATGTTAGTAACTAAATAGAGAATGGCTGATTCAAGAGAATATCAGTTACAACTTAATTGGCTGGAGAATGGGACTCCCTCATCAGATCTGTGGCATCATTCCAGTCCCTGGCGATCTTGCTGTAGATGGGGCCTCCAGCAGTACTGCGGTTGGTTCCTTCTGCAGAGTTTGTTCTTCACTGCAGCACTCCAGGTCACCGGCAGACAAGATCGTTCTCCAAACTCTTAGGTGATGTCAGCGGTCAGTTATTCCTCCTTTTTTCTCCACTCTCTCACTCTGAGGCCTGATCCGGTCCTCTGGTGTTCTGCACAACTTTCTCTCACCATCCTTCCAGCTCTCTCCCAGCTCACATTCTGCCTCCCTTTCCTGGGGTTCTACAATTATGTCCCTGCCCACACCCCAAATGTAGTCCCCAAATGTGTTGCCTTACAACTAAGTCCTGTGGTTCAGCCTATAAAATCCATAAAGCTTTTCACCAGAGGGTGTGTGACACTGAGTTTCAGAACACTGCCACCTTGTGTCTCTTTTCTGTTTCAATATTTTTATTAAGAAAGTTTTAGTTTTAGGAATACAACAAGCTCAAGATACACCCACGCAGGGGCAGAGCAGAACAATAAACACATAAACAGATACATCCTGCTGACTTGTATTAGCCAAATAACGAAACGTCCAATGACATCAAGGAGTAACAACAAAAAGCCAAACCAAATAATAGCAGCAGTAATCCAACATATTACTGGAAAAAGAAGAGGAAAGAAAAAAGGTTACCTTGTGTCTCCTTTAACATCCTGCAGTTTTAATAATAGCAGGGTGTTACATGTTCTATAAACAAAAAGTCCCTGAGTGATAGCACCTGCCGGGGTCCTGAGTTTAATTCAAACCATGAATATCATTTGACACACTAAATGTGTGAGATTCCTCTCAGGAAAAATTATTATAAGCTTTGATGGGCCCAGAAATGACATGTGAATAATTCAGTGTAAAACACTTCAAAATATGAAATAAAGTACTGTTAAAACACAGGAAAAGTCTTGGTGCAATGAAAATAATGTGGGATTAAAGGATAAGTTCATCTTTAAAGACAAAAATAATACATGCAGATCTTTTTGCAGATAAAAAAAATGAATTTATTATTTTTTTTACTTGGAGCTTGTAAAGCTTTGCACCCATGGTCAACATATAGTGGGTGTCATGCAGGACTTATGCAGACTTGTCAGTGTATCTGTCTGCTCATACCTCTTACGGGCAGGCAGATACACACCGAAAGGAAGGGACAATGAACTACTGCAGTGCTCAACAGTACCCCCACCCCCATGTCAAGGTCCTACCTTTTCCCAGAGGTTATGTTACTCCATGTGCTGGCATCCATCTTGGATTTCTGCTGAGCATGATGGGAATCTTTTATGCCTTCAGGTCTCTGAGGTCCATCCCCCAGAGGGGTGTGGCTGAGTACATATAAGCCTGTGATCTGCACATGCTCTTTGCACTTGTGTCTTTGTCTTGCTACAGCTCTGTGTATATGCTCGTGACTCTTCTGGTATCTGACTCGACTCGGCTTGTGACTAAAACCATTCTCTGTGGTTTCCCTCGATCTGACCTTCCGTTGCTGAACCTGGCCCGTGACCTGTGATTCTCTGTCTACTGTTCTGTACCGTTTTGTCCCGTTGTTATTGACCCGGCTTGCCTGACTACGCTTTTGTCATTCTCACCAGCTACACGCCATTGGCGGCAGCCATTACCGCAGCCGGGGTGTCTCGGGGGCCGCGACCTGGTTCCTGGCTGCGTCAAGTCCATCCCCACCATCAGGGGCCCTGGTGAAGGGCAGCCTGGGACTTAGACTCCGCGCCCTGAGGGACCTCGGTCTGTTGGTGGTGGTTGTCGTCAGCCAGTGCATTACCCTGCCACTAGGCCTACCTGTCCGTTCCACAGCCCTGCCCTGACACCCCACTCCCACTACAGTCTTGTGGCAGGTCCCAGAAGATTGTGCAGCGATGCTTGTGCATGCACGGTGGGCCCCAGACTGTGAAGCCGCAAGCTGTCACTGCCCAGTGCCCACACTTAAGATGCCGGTGCTGGGGACAGAAGATGGCTTGGGTGAGCACAATGCTGGATCAAGGGACAGGTAAGTGGCTGTTTTTCAAAAGTCAACAGTTACAGTTTTTGTAGCTGCTGATTTTTATTTTTTTCACAGGGGACTGGAGCTCCGCTTTAAGTGCACTTGTCATCATATCCAGGGAGTTGTTCCAGCCATTCAACTTCCGTCTTCAACTCCTTCCGCTGTACCTCCACTCTCATAGATATGAGAACATGCAAACAAAAAAGAAACAAAATAGTGATCTCTGTGCACAACTAAATATACAAAAATATAAAGTATAAAAATACCATGCATATAATGTTAAATAAACATGTAACACTTTAAAATTGCACATTGCTAATGGTGACAAACTACAGTACATTAAATTATCCATAGGAAGATCATGGTCTGGGTTTGCTGACCCGCCATCCCAGAGCATCAAAGCGAATGCAATACAGCGGAACTACTTGCAAAGTTGGAGATGTAGTAGGGAGCAAGTACCGCCTAAAGCCGATGCCTCCTCTATTGTGTTGGCTCCTGTCCCATGCTGAGTGATACCAACTTCACTCCACCGCTTATCCCGACTAGCGGACTCCAGGGTGGTGCCAGCTGCAGCAAAGATCTTCAGGTCAGTGTGAAGCAATACACTGGTCATAATAGTATAGGGTTGCTTTTACATTGTTGTGCTGCAATTTATCCACACCACCGGTACAGTGCAGTGTGCCTTCAGCTTTCCTGTAGGTTTGCTGCACTTAGCCGTAGACTTCTATTACTGTATATCCTGCTACTTTGATGCACTTTTTGAAATCGCACCAAAACTTCTGAATGCAGGAGTTTTGGTGCACTTTCCGAAAGTGCAGCACACCTGCAAGATATAATAGAAGTCTATATTGAAGCACAACAAACCCAGAAAAGTCACAGATGCACTGCACTGCACCCACTTTGCTGGTAAACCGCAGCACATCAGTGTGAACATAGCCTTATAGGGGGCTCAGAACAGTAAGGGTCTATTTGCAGTTTGATGGGGTGGTAAAACCCTATAGTAAGATGTGTTTTAGCACCCTGCCCCAACCGCACCCCTTTAGCTGCAGTGGCCAGGGGTGTACATGTGTCACAGCCGCAGCAGGAGTTATATGCCCTCTCATGGTTGGTGGATGTAGCACCTTCCAAGCATGACCTATTTAAGTGAATGAGGCCACTCTGCAAGTGCCCTGAAACCTTGTGCAGTACAGCAAACAAGGGGTTAAAGCAGGCAGCATTGTGTTGCTTTCTCACCACCTCCTTTAACCCCTTGGACCCCGCAGAAGCATGTAGTTGCGGGGAGCTTGCAAAGTGGCCCTTTTTACTTGAATAGGTCATGATTGGCAGGCGGTAGTATCGACCAAAAGCAACAGGGGGTTTAATTTCTGTGTGTAAACATTTGGCTAAAGGGGGTAAGGATTGGAGGCAGTGAAAGCACCCCCCTGTTATGTGTGAATGAGCCCTAAGGTTGCTGCTGCTGAATGCAACTGAGGACTCATTCACAAGTGCAAGGGTTTGGAGGACCCCCCTCTGCCACCTGTAAATGTGATCAAGTGGCTCTATAGCTGCTCGAATCACTTCTTCATCGAAGGAAACTGCAGGTTAAACATTTTGGTACTTTGATGAAGCCTGCAACTACATAACAATATACATATGAATTCCTACAGGCAGGTAGTGATTAAAAACCTACATGGTTATTAATGATTAGCATAGCTTTACAATATGTTATGCAATATGCCTGTAAATGGACCAAACTTCAACACACCCTATCTGTCCTCACATGACAGATGGAATGCTGCCAAGCTCGTTCTCACAAATAAATACAGAAGTTCAAGGTTTGTAGAAAGTACAGAAAGAATATT